CCCCAAAACACCAAAACCCCAAAACCCCAAAACCCCATCTTATCAAAATAACATGTTTTTTTACACTTTCATAAATAAAGCTTTACTATAATTTAGTTTCTATTAAAATTGATGATTATTTCTGGATCTGAGTTTTAAGAAATTAAAATACGATATTAACATCAGAGTACTTTCATTATTAATCATCTTTCATAAAGCTATTTTTCTGAGTTACTAGTTTGGTCTTAAGTTAAGATATCCAATCAAGAGATCCTCTTTTCATATTTAAACAGTTATTTGGCTAGGTATGAAAATCAAAATGATTTTAGGGGCCTATTCCCTCGTACATAGGTAAATTTCTTGTAGTCATATTGCCATTGACTTGAAGATTAACATTCATTCTCTTAAATTTAAAATCTTTGCTGGTAAACGGTCTGTTTCTAAAAAAATTTCTAGAATATCCTCTCGATGTTATTGACTACTTTGTCTAATCCTAAATAACTGATTCTACTCTGTTTAGATATTACTTTGATGACATAACTCTCATAAACTATACTTTCTGGGGACTTGAATTTCTTTCCTTTTCAATTTTTCTTTGATTATGCTAATCTTCATAATACTACTTAATAACTATCTATTTCCTCTCTTCACTATCTTCTTTACTACTGTTATCAGAATTCTGCTGATTCTTATCTATTTTTTAGATTTTGTTTTTGAAGATAATATATTCGGCATTTAAATCATCGCAATCAACATTTTACTAGACAATTTAACTGGGATATAATAGATTTTTCATATCAGTATTAGACCTCTTTATATTTATTTTTTCAGTACTATACTCCCTCGAAGAAAATGTCGTCTATATTGCACTTTTAATCTTATTGAGATCAAGTTAAGGTATATTCCTCAATGCCAATGCGTAACTAGTGCTTGAGAAATTTTATCCCACTTATTGAGAAATCAACTAGAAATCTTTTATCTATACTTAATTTTCTGGCTTTTTCTTAGCTTATCTTTATTCTTGTTTTTACTACACCTTAACTTCTAATTCCTTTAAGAACTATTTAACCTTCATTGTTCTTTCTCTTTGAATTTTCATATCAGCTAACTTCTTTTTCTATTACTAATGTAATTATTGTGATGAAGGTTGAATGTTATTGCAATTTTAGCCACCCAGGATACTCATTGAATTCTGAGATTGTGCCTCATCATCTTTCATATTATTTTTAGTTGATGCTGTCCTTAGTCTTTACATAGATCTGCTTGAATCAAAGGATTATCGATGCTAAAAAGATTATTGCTGAGTAAGGCATTGGCTCAGTGCTTTCTTGCTCTTCATTTATTTGAGCTAGCCCATTATAGTCTTTTTAGTGACTTAGAGTGCTTAAGGATTGGTAAGAGCCATAAGATAGGGATCAGATAGAGCCTTAAATCTCTGAAGATATTGATCCTCTTCTCGATGCAAATTTGAAATCGTCTGTACATATTACTTTAAGTAATTTCTTTTCTCCACTAACTACTATTTTCTCATTCTCATAAGACTCTAAGTTTGTGGTCTATCTGTCATTTACTGCAAGTTTTCATCGAGCTCAAGTTTAGATTGAGACCTTGTCTGCCCAGTTTAGCTTCTTGATGTCTTTCTGAGTTAATTTAAATGTATCATCTCATCACTTGTGTCAGTTAGGAAAGAGTCATCATCTCCTTTGTTAATATTGCCTCTCATGACCTACTACACGAATTTAACCCTATTATTCTTTTGCTAGTATTTTCCTTTTCCTAAAGTACTCATAAGAGTCATATGAATGCTGTTTGCTTTGCTGTTATCTCCTGCTATAGACGAAGATTTCATAGAAAATTCTCTATTTTACTGGTATTTCGGGTCTTACTTATAGCCATCAATCTCACTTTGCTCTATATGATGATTTCAGTAACAAAAATTTACAAAATTCAATCTAGCTTTAGATTTAAACAATTAATCTTTTTAAATCCTGGTAGCCTCCTTGAATTTATTCTTCATCTTGAGATTTGTACCTATGAAATAATTAATGATAGTTAACTTACATTGATTTATTTTAACGAAGGAAATCAATAAGCAAATTGTTTTTAGGCTTAATTGATGAATTTGAGACACTAGTATTCAAGGCTTAGCTAGGAGACTTGATTGAGGCTCTCTTAATCACATTTCTAAATTTATTCATCAGACCACTAGCTTGGTTTATACTTTTCCTTGCACCAAGCAAGGGAGAATTATTCCCACCTCCAATCATTGCGCCACTTTACTATCTAGATGGCTATTTGAGATACTCCGATGTTTATGATTCCTACTGAATAGGTAATAGTGCTTGCCAATCACATGTTATATCCTAATACTCCCCTACCTTATTTTTAATAATTTGTAATCTTTAAATAAGCTTGAAGTAGAATATCTTCAGCTAAGAGTCATATTTTTCTTCCCTCAGTTTAACCTCTACATTTTTCTTATGCATAATCTAATTGTCTTCTCTCTTATTTTCGATTTATCTTTAAATTTTCATAAGTGAGAACTCTGACTCATTATTAATTTGATTTTTCAAAATTTCTTGATCAGACTTCATCATATCCCTGATTTTAACAAGCTTTTCTAGTTCTAATTCCTTCCTCCTTTTATCTCTTATCAATAAATGATGAAACTCCATCATCTATACTGTATATGCTCGCTGCTTGTTAACTCTTTATAGTATCACATTCATGTCAAATTATACCTTGTTTACCTGCTTCCATTAATCAAGTATTACGCCAGAATTTAGAGGATTCTATGTATTATTACATATTCTCATAATAAGACTACTTTAGATAGAGATTTGCAACTATGAGTTAGAGGGTTTTCTGCAAATATTGTTTATCTATGCATAAAAAAGAGCTTAAGCTTTAAGATCTTGAAAACTTGATTTAGTAAATAATTTACTGTTGAAATCCTATCCTTATGTTTATTCTTCATGTCTTAAAAGCATGTTTTGCAAGTTGGATAATAATGTATATTGATTCAAGAGAAGCCTCTCTTACTTTCTAATTTATGACTCTATTTAACCTTTATTTTGCACATTTTAATCGTATTTTATTCTTTCTTTGTGTGCCACATCATATCTTGCCTCAGCTTTATTAATCTTTTCCTTTAGAACTATATAGTCATTTTTTAAGTTTTCTAGATCTTCGATTGACTGATGCAACTCTCTCAACTTATCTGACAGTTGGGTTATTCTTGATTACCTAATTCTCTCAATTGTCTTTTTAGAGTCATCAACAAAGGTGTTTGTAACCTCAGTTCTTGATTTTAGGATGAAATTGGCATTGGAAAATCCAGACATTAGATCAGTGTTCATTTCAATTTCTTTAGTCAAATCTACTATTCTCATATCATCATGAAACTTTTGTACCTTCAGTCTTTCTATCAAATATAATAGTCTCTCATTTTCAACCTTTTCCATCTCATAGAGATAAATTGCATCCTTTTATCCGATAATTAACTCTTTAATCTTAATTTTTAACTGTATACGTTCATCTTTAAGTTATTAAAGAGTAAGCTTAGTCGTTTATTAATCTTGTTTCTACTACCTTTAAGATCTTTCATCTTTACTCAAAATAGGAGTTACTTTAGTAGTCCCATCATTTTTGCTAAGATTAGTAGCTCTCTGTAAATTGGGTTCATACATTTTATCTATTTCTTTATAGTTTGGCTCTTTTATTTTCATGATCGTGTTTAGCTAAGTCTTAAATTCGTCTAAACTTCTAATTCGCTTAGAAACCAACTCTTAAGTGATACTAGCTCTTTAGTTAAGATTTTTATCGTTAACAAATACATTAGTGCATGAATACTGTCTAGTCATCAGGTTTTGACTTTGAAAAGCGTTAGTTACAAAGTCAGAAGATCAATTACTCCCACTCAGAGTTCCTGTGGCCCCTATTTTAGAAACCTATCTAGTTAGCATACTTCTCCTACTTGCAGAGGTGATATCTATATCTAGTTTTTCCTTTAAGTCTCTAATAATCTCATTTTCCCTCTCGTCTATTTTCTGCAAAAATACCTTTATATGGTCCTTCTTTGAAAGTAGTTGAGGTGTGTTTAGAATATTTAACATTTTATACTCGATTATAATGATTTTATTTATAGAATTCTTTTTTAACAATACTATTTTATTTTTGGGCAATTTATCTTTAAGGGGTTTTGGGGTTTTGGGGTT